ACATAGGATTACAAAGTAAACCAATTATATTGAAATACAATTATCAGAATAAAAAAAAAGTTAACATGACTCCAGATGAAGAACTCCTGCCTACTGCTATTCTCTTCTGTACATTATTGTTCTGTGTGGTGTCATTCTTAGTTCATGTGCATAAGTAGTCTTCCTTCCTCCCCATTTTTTTTCAGGGAAAGGAGAGCACTTATCAGCTGTGTATCTTTGGGCAAATACTTCACTTACCCTTTGTAAGCCTCGTGTGTAAATGAAGATAATTGTAGTACCTATTGCCCCTTGTTATTTTGAACACCAAATGAAATGTGTTGAAAATGTTTTGCAAACCTGAAAAGCTCATAGAAATGGCAGATATTGAATTAACTGATACCATGGCCTAATGATAATAATTAAAGTACTTTATTAAAGCATAGAATTCTTTGTAGCTCTTCTCTGTCTCCCCTCTGGCAATGTACCCAAATTTAATGTACCCATTTTAAGTCGTTTTACAGATTTCCTTTTCCAGACTGCTAGCCACCTTATTTTCTTCTATGAGCTTAATGTTAATTTTTCTTTTTTAAATGTTTAATTCAGTAGGATAAATTTTGCTAACACTAAGTGAAGTAGAATAATTACCTGCCATTACAACTCCCTGTGGTATAATTTGTTTTAGTGATACTCCCTTAGAGTGCCCCAACAATATCTGGCACATAGAGGTGATCAATAAATATACTTAAATGAATCTCAGTGATTTGGAAGTTCTGTTTAATGATGCAGGCAGGTTACCTCTGCCTGTCCTATTTGACTTTTGTTCATTTTCTCCCGTAAGTTTGTCATAGAGGGTCCACCCAACGTGCTTGCTTTCTCCTGATACTAAAGGTTTGGAGCACTTTGACTGTCCACCTCGTGTGACCAGCCCATCTGCTGTTCCTATCATACCTTTCTTTGACAGCATTTTTATAAATATTATTCTTTAAAGTTCCTTATTGGTTATATGTTGCATCTTGTGCACACCCACTTTGTTCCTTTCTATTACCCTCTGAGTCATTTTTAATTCTTTGGAGACTTTTGTAATCCATGTTTTGTAGCCATATAGCAATACCAATAGAATATTGGTACTAAAAAGATGAACCTTTGTTTCCATGGTAATCTTGGGACATTTAAAGGAACTTTGCAGTTTACCAAAGGTAATCTGCCCTGCGTTCCTTCTCCAAGTCAATCCTGAACCAAACTTATTTGTCTATATTGTCTGTTTCCTTCCCATATTCTGCTCCCACACTCCACTCCCAAGCCCTCTCCCCCTGCCCCCCAAAATGGACAAGCTTTATGTCATGATGTGGGTAATAGTCATTCTTTAACTACTTGGTCTTTTCTGTGTAGAAATCAATCAATAAACATTTATTAAGTGCCTACTGTGTTCTAGGCACCATGTTAAGAGGAGGATCTGGAGTGCCGTATCATCCACAGAAAATCCCTTTTTAACTTGGACTCTGCATTAGATTTCCTTCGTAGTAGTACTGAATTCCTTTGGAGAGCATGTATCTCCCTATTTTATGTCTTCTCTGATGTTTATAATTAGAGGGTTGTTGAACAGGCTTATTATATCTTTAAAAAGATCTAGAATGATTTTGATTTATGGATAGGAGAAACCTTGCTGGAAAAGAGCCTTCAAGGTGGTATTTTGCCCTGCTGAAATCAAATGCTTTTTCACAACCAGAAAATGAGATCTTAGATTCTCTACTTTTTCCTGTCACATGCAAAATGGCGTTGTTGAATATTATTTGTAGAAGTATGTTTGTTCCTTACCAATATCCTCTGAGGAGGCCCTTGATTTGTGTATAGATTTTCTATAAATGGGAGAGTAGGCATATGAGTTAATAGTTGTTGATATTTTCTCAATCACTACTCCCCCCTTTGCCTTTTTTCTTTTTTGATTTTGACAAGGTCCAAGATTTTTTTCCTGCTTTTGGTGTATTACGTTCCTTCAGATACCTTGAATATCAGTCCCCCAGTGGTTTCACAGTTGCATCTCCTCAGGTACATCTCTCTCTCTGTATACTTGGCACAGTCTTTTCCCATCGTTCTCATTAGTGCCATTTCAACCTTCCTATAAGCACATCTAGGGCTGTGATGTTTGGGTCCTAATGTGAGAATTCCATTGTTCTTGATTGTGAAAACATTTAGTTATAATAATCTTTACAGTTGTTTTTTGTTTTTATTGTTATCCTCTGATTTTTATCCTTAATCTCTTTGAGATAACTTTGCTTAGCTGAATGTCTTGCCAAGCTTTTCTGGAAACTTGTTTTGCCTCCTCCCTCCCCCACCTCATTTCTCTGCTTTATGAGACAGTACTGCCTGTCATAATTGACATAATTGCCTATCATCCTTTGTTATTGCCAGTCTTTTAAAAATTTTTTTCAGACAGTTGCATATTCTAAACCAGTTTTTGCCCTTGGATGTCCATCATCTCCTTTTGCTTGGCAAGACAAAAGTGTTTTCTTCTGGGCTCTTTTGGCCTTTTTGTTATGGCAGTAGATTTCATTGGTTAACCTTATGTATAAAATTATTATAAATGTCAGTGCCATTTTGGGGTTTATTTCTTGTTTTCATTACTAAGTGCTCATTAAATAGTTTAGGATTGAGTTATTTTAGTTGTATTTTCTCATTGTTCTTCTTGCTTTTTATTAATTTTGATCATTGCCTTGACAAATCAGTGGTATGATTATATACAAACAATTGATTCAGGGATAATTACTATATTAGTAACAAGTCGTTTCCTCTTTATTTGTTCTTTTTGTAAGTTTTTTGGGTGTACCCCTTATCTAATTAGCCTGCCAATTATTTTCTTGAAGACTTATGATATAAGGGTGTATAATCCACAATTTGATGGCCTTTAATGAATTAAAAAGTGCAAAAAGGTAAGAATGGCAAGAAGGCATGGTTCAGGAAAAAGAAATGAGTGAAGACAAATATTTGTAGATCAAAAGTCTAATTGATTAAATTATTTGTGAGTCATTGAAGTTATGGGGTGTTAAGTAGGAATGCTCATTCATTTGGCATTCAGTAAGCTATTTTGAAATCTGTAATACAAATGACAGGGAGAGAAATACAGTTAAATAAGATACAGTCCCTCTTTTCAAGGAGTTTATTGTCTAATAGGGTACCCATAGGACATTAGGCTTTTTAAAAATGTAGATGATATCTTTTGTTTTATATCACCTACATTTCCTATTCTTTCTCTCCATCCTCACCTCTAGCCTCGTCCTTTCAGAAAACCATCTTTTATAAAAAAAAGAATTTTTGTTTTTATAAAGAAGAGAAAAAACTCAGGAAAATCAACTGTCATATTGAAAGAAATCTGATGTTATACAGTGTTCCATGCTATTGGCCACTTTCCCCATCTCCTCTTTGCAAAGGAGTGTGAGGAGATGCCTGTTCATGTTTCTTCTTAGGGGCCAAGTTTGGTCTTTATAATTTCATAATATTCCATTTTCATAGACTCATGCTGATTGTTCTTTCTGCTTATGTTGTTGAAGTTATTGAGTATATTGTTTTTGTGGCTCTGCTCACTTCACTTTGCCTGATGGTGAAGGTTAGGTAGATGAAGTACTGGGACCTGACTGATTGGTTACAGAGGGTGAGGCCTATGTGAGTTACTTACCCTCTACACCTTAGCTACACCAGCTCAGTATTTTATACAAATTAAAAAATGCACATATATGTGTGTATTTAAGTGTGTATATACACACATACACATCTCTGTCTCTTTCTCCACATATATATATATATATATATATATATATATATATATATATACACACACACACATATATATATATATACACACACATATATATATATACACACACACATATATATATATACATATATATCTATCTCTATATAGATATATATCTCTGAGTGATACAAAGCTCTAAAATATAACTTATGTGCTCTTGGATGAACTAAAAAAAAAACTTCTGGCCCTCAGTTTCCTTATCTGTAAATAAGATGAGAGAGTTGAGCTGGTACTCTTGGAGCCATATACCTATGAGGCAATGTGATGTAGTATAAGGAACATTGATACCTGACCTGAGTTAAAATCCTGCCTTGTTAACCCTTACCTGTTGTGTGGTTATGGACAAGTCCTCCAACTGAACTTCAGTTTTCTCATATGCAAAATGGGAATATCAACCCCACAGTGTTATAGTGTTTCATTCAGTTAATCAACAAGCCCTCATTAAGTAGTTGCTGTGTGCTAGGCACTGAATTGAATATTGAAGATACAAAAATGAAACAGCCCCTGCCCACAAGAAGCTTACATTTTAATAGGGGAGATAACATGTGCAAAGAGGTATACGGAAGATCCTTGCAGAGGAGTTAAACTGTAAGGCCTCCTGCATAAGGTGGTGCTTCAGCCGAATCTTGCCTGAAGAAGTGAAGCTCCAACCAGACAATGTAAAAAAGTGCTTTGTAGCCCTTTAAAGTGACATGTACACGTTAGTTGTTAACAATGATTATAGGTGCTTTTAGAAGCACTCTCAGTAATAGGGCAATCAGCATCCCATGGACCAGGTCACTATCTTAACCTTTCCTCACCTCAGATTTTGACCTCAGTCCATTGGGGAATTATTTCACCTTTTTATAATTAAAAGCACTGAGAAAGTGGGATTCACTTTGTATCCATAATCATGGGAATATATTTGTTTTATATCAGAGAGACTTTACTTTTCTAAACAACAGCTTGTCCACATAGCCTAATGCTGAGGAAGAACTATTTGGAAACTACATGCATTAAAATACAATTTATTTTAATAATGAGCTCTACATTAAGCTATAACTTAACCAATTAATGTGATTAAATTAGAAAATTGTGAATTCTAAGTTAAAGGCGATATAGTGTGATAATAACTGATATTTGGAGTACCATAGTTGGCATAGTGATGTGATGTTCTTTTTTTTTCAAGATCACTGGATCAAATAATCTTTTTCTCTCTTTTTTTCCTCCATAGATTCAACCCTTTTTGCTGAACTTGGTGATTTAATGGACACAGATGAGTTGCAGCTAGATGTAGAGAATGAAACTTATGTAAGTGTTTAGTAGAGGAGAAATACTGTTTTCTTCAAAATGGCATTGAATCCTTACCCTAATTACTCAGAGATTTCAGGATAGCAGATTTAGATTTTTAGACTCTTTCATTTTCAGCTTTCAATTCATGGGTATCGTGGGAGCAGCACTGGATTTCAAGTTAGAGGAACAAGTTCAAATCCCTGTTCTCCTACTTATCTATGTGACCTTGGGTTAGTCACCTAATGTCTCTTGGCATTAACTTCCTCACCTATAAAATAAAAGAGATGTGGATTTCACTTCTAGCTCTAAAACCTGTTAACTTAGGTGCGTAAAATACTGTATAAATCAGTTTACCAATTAAAAATAAAAAAATAGGATCAACCATGCACACAGTAAATATGGTGTGATACAGAGGTATCAAGCATTGGACTGGGCCAGATGAAAATGTAATTGGGAAACATAAAATACCATTACATTTTGAAAGTCAATATGAGGCCCCTAGAGATCCATATGTGTGGTTAGTGACTTCAGATTCTATTGGCATTTGACAGGATTGGGGAGTAGAAAGAATGAGTGCTGGAATCAGAAGACCTAGATTCTTCTGATCATGTCATTAAATTGCTTTTCAGTTGCATCCTTCTGAAAATAAGTTTACTTTCACATATTATATTTAACAGTTTTCACTAATAATTACGTGTGTAAGGAAAGATTTTTCTCCTCTCACTATGAAAATACTTTGTATCATAATAGCAGTGTTTCTTCCCTCTTTTATTGTTGTTGTTTGTTCTTTGTTTTCAAAGAGCACCAGTGACATCCCGAGGGTAATGTCTTCACTTTCGTGTGAATTGATTTTAAGTGAAGCAGAGTTTCACAAAGTTGTCAGCCTCATTCTTTCTTCCTGAGTCATCAAATTCCAGTGGCAGGACAAAAGTCAAGATGATTGACGATGGCCCGAGGTGACCTTGGCACGTTTGATATCTCACCAAGCTCCAAGTACTCCACAGAACCTGCTCCAGCCTCCTTCCTAGCCATTGGAACAAATTGTCCTTATCTGTCCATTCCACTGAGGGAAGTCTTCACATTCTTGGGGTAGACATCCCCCTAACTCACTGACAGGTTTGAGGCCTGGCCTGTCAGTTGTCTTCAGCCTGGTTTAGATGCTTTGCCTCGGTCTGGCTGCTGTGCATGCTACAGCTTCTTGGAGCCACAGATGATAGTTGGGTGAATCAGGTGGACACCAAAGGTGGATGAGCCCCCCTGAAAAGGGCTCATCCACCCCTCATACCACAGGTGCTATTCTTCCTGAACACCTCATATATCCCTTCTTTTAAGAGCAGTTTTGAAGACCTAAGTACCATGCCAAAGACATGTTGGCTAATATTTAAATATCCTTTTAATGAATAATTTTTTATCTCTAAATATAGGTTATTCTCTTTGCTGTGAAAGTTCTTAAGCTGAAAAGGTAAAGGTGGGCAGCTGTGTTATAGGAGGTGGACACATTTAATTCAAGAGAACTTTATTTAGAGCTTATAATGTGCAAGGCATTGTCCTGGGCCCTGAGGGGGAATACAAGCTAAACAAAAATGTTTTCTGCCCTCTAGGAGTGCCCCTTAGAGCCTGAGAGAGAGATGAAACAGACCAAAGGGTTTTACCGAGTATAGTGCTGTATGGGGAAGTGCTATAAGAGTGCAGAAGAGGAAGGAAGTAACATTTAGGCCATGTCTATGTAGGATTTAAACATGAGATCATGAAGAGGAGAGGAAATAGCATTCCCTGTGTTGAAAAGACAACAGAGGTAGGAACTTGTGGGAACTGATTCTTTGCTTGGAGAACAATAAGTAGACCCTGGAAAAGGTAGATATGAGGATTATTTTTTTTTTAGTAATGGTGATGAAATTGTCCTGATCCATTCATATTCTTATTCCTTTGTAAGCAAGGAATGCATTTTAAGATTCGCATTATGCTGTCATGGATTTTTATCTGTGTGTTCATAGGTTTAATAACATTAAAAAGTGCCAGTAACTTAAATTCTCATGAAATCCAAGCTCAAAAATAATAGAAAGGAGTTCAGTTTTACTAAATTTTATTTTAGGTCTGCTCTTTAATTTGTCTTGATTCATTCATTCATTGATTCCACATTAATTATTTCTTGTTACTTGGTCTCTTTTCTTCTTGTTTCTTTCCTCCTGGAGAGCTTTCTTCAAGTCATTCATTCCCAAGTCTTTCCCCATCCTTAGTTTTTGCCTTGGCCTAGTCATCTTCTCAGGCTGTCATCCTTTGTTTCTCTTTCCTTTCACTGCCAGACTCCTAGAATAAGAAATGAGCTCTACTTTCTTACTACCTATTCATTTTTAACCCTTTAAAATTAAGTTTCTGACCCTGTCATTCTACTCAATCCTCTCCAAGATTGCAAAAGATCTTTCAGATGGGCTTTTCTAAGTTTTCATGCTCCTTGACTTTTCTGCAGCTTTTGACATTCTAGCTTACTTACTCTTTCTGACTACTCTCCCTTCCTTTTGCTTTTACAACACTGTTTTCCTACCTATCGAATCACTCCATTTTAGTTTTCTGACTACTTCTCATTCCCCCTACGTTAGCGTGGATGTCTTCCATGGCTCTGCCTGAGTCTTCTTCTCACCTTACACTCTCCGTCTTGGTAAAAGCTCATTAATTCCTACGGCTGTGATGATCATCTCTGTGCATATGACTCCTGAATTTATGGATCCACTCTAATCTCTCTCTAGAGCTCCATGCTATATGTCTCTACCTGGATATTCCATCAGAATCTCAAATTGAACATGCCCCAAATGGAAATCATTATCTTTCCCCCCAAATCCACCTTTTTCCTCACTAAAATTCCCTAGTCCTATTGAGCATACTACCATTTTCTCAGTTATCCAGGTTTGTAACCTCAGTTTAGTTGTTTTCGGTCGTGTTTGACTTTTTGTGACCCCTCTTGGGGTTTTCTTGGCAAAGATACTGAAGTGGTTTGCCATTTCCTTCTATAGCTCATTTTACAGATGAGGAAACTGAGGCATACAGGGTGAAGTGACTTGCTCAACACAGCTGTTGTCTCAGGCTATATTTGAACTCAGGTTTTTGACCGTAGGCCTGGTGCTCTGTCCACTGAGCCACCTAGCTGCCTGCTGTAACCTCAGAGTTATTCTTTACTCTTTCTTCTCTCTAACACCCCACATTCAGTTTGCTCATGTTGGCTTTTAAAGCATATTTTTTTAAAAAATTATGAACTTAGCCTCAACAAATATGAGCATTTCAGTAATTCCGAGAACAAAAAAGAAGAGCATATATGAAACTGTGAATTTATGATATATACAGGTTTTTATCATAGTAGTCACAAAATTGCCATTTGTGTTCCCTTCTGATTTGTCTTCTTTGAACCAAGTGTTTTTTTATTCTTTTTCTATTGTCTCTTGCCTCTGTCCCCTCACTCCTACTCTTAGAGTCAATGCTCTAGTTTAGGCATGCTTCACCTCTTGTCTGAACTGTCAACTAATTAGTCTTCCTGTTTCCAGCTCCTCTCCTCTTTAAATGGCTGCCAAAATGATCTTCCTAGGGCCTAGATCTGACCATGTGACTGCCTAGATGACCTCTAAAACTCCCATTCAACTTTCCGTCTATGATCTTCTTACCCCTGTTCAGACACTTTCAAGGGCTCCATTTTACCTCTAGGGCAGCAGTTCTTACCCTGAGGTCCAGGAATTTGCTTTTACAAGTATTTTGATAACTTCATTTCAGTGTAATTGGCTTGCTTTGTCATCCTGTGTATTTTATTTTATGAATTTAAGAACATTATTCTAAGAAGGGGAGTGTAGACCTTACCACATTGCCAAAGGATCCAGGATACAAAAAAGCTCAAGAACCACTGCTCTGGTTCAAATAAAAACGTCTTAGATTGTACCTTAAGGCCCTACTGGTTAGCTTCAACCTACTTTTCCAGCCTTATTTCACATTACTTCCTTTAATACACTCAACTATTCTAGTCAAACTAGACAAGTTAAATTTCCCTCGTTTTGTGTTCTAGCTTTTGCTTCCATTAATTTACAAAAGACATCATCACCCTGGAATGCACTGCTTCCTTACCTCTACCTGTTATAATCCTTATCTTCCTTCAAAATCAGCATAGGTATCATGTACCTCTGTTCTCTAAACCAGCTTGACAGACGGGCTGAACCAGTTTGAGGGTACTGACAGGCCTCAAACTCTTCAGTGAGTTAGGGGGATGTTTACCCCAAGCACATGAAGACTTCCCCTGGCAGAATGGGCAGATGAGAACAGTTTATTCCAGTGGTTCTGAAGGCAACTGAAGCAGGCTCTGTGGAATGCTTAGAACTTGCTTAGGTGTTAAAGGTGCCAAGATCATCCACTACATCCCAGGCCATCACTAGTCTTCTCAACTTTTGTCCTGCCACTGGACTTTGATGACTCAGGAAGAGAGAGTGAGGCTGATGACTTTATGAAACTCTGCTTCACTTAAAACCAATTCACGAGCAAGTCAAGGCTCCCCATAATGTCACTGATCTTCTTTGAAAACAAAGGAAGAACAGTAAGATGCCACATTCTCTCTTAAACTTTCTGGGTTGTTAATCCTCTCTTCCTTCAAAAGTCAACTTGTATTTACTTACTGGTGTATCTAGATAAGTAGGAATTGGGAAAGAAGAAGGTTACAAGAGCAGTTTGTGGCCATAGAACAAAGTGAGGTTGTATGACCTATGTTCACTCAACAAAATTTGTCAGCTTTGTGTAATTCACTATGTTAGATGTTGATTAAATGCATGGCCTTGATCCCATCACTGTCATGCTCTCCACAACTGAACTTAAACGACATCACACATTAGGTAGGTCCTTTAAGTTCTGTTACAAGATGTGATTGGATCATTTGGGAAACCCGTTCCTCTACATTTGGGTGATATAAATTATATGTAATTTTTGGGATATTATTTGTGATACTTTGTTGCATGTGATTTGTCTTTTACTCTTCTCATTTTCTTATTCTGATTTGTAACCCACAGGAAAACAATTTCTATAACCTTGGCTTTGATTTGGATTTGATGCCATGGGACTCAGACCCTTGGGGGATTTCAAACCAATCTTGTACAGGTAACAATTTGCCACTTTTAATTTGTAATGAGCTATATAGACAGGATTGGCTTTTGGGTTATTTCACAGTACAGCCATTCAATTTTTCTGCTTGTGAGTCTTGGTGGTGGGTTAAAAGACATAGTGGACTCTCTGTTCTACCTATTCTAGCTTGTCACTCCAAAAAAAAAAAAAGAAAGGAAAGGAAAGAAAAACACTTTTGCAGGATCAATAGAAAGAATTGCCTAAATCTTAAATATCCTAAGTGAATTTAAAATTCATGCCAGGAACAAAAGTATACTGTCAGTGAGAGAAATAGATGCCTGGGGCTGACCTAGGCTACATTTGAAGGACAGTTGTCATAAAGAAAGAGATTTTTAAGAAAAATCTGATTAACTATGGGCTTAAAATTATTTATCTGAATATTTTACAGGATTAGAAAGTATATACAGATTTTTTTTACTCCAAACTTTCAGGTTATCAAATTTATAGGTTCTGTGTCCCAGAAATATTTTTGCCTCTCCTTTTCATTGTAGTACTGGCTTCAAATTAAGAATTTTGAAGTCTTTGGTTATGATTTTTTTTTTACTTCCCTTTTTTCCTCTTCTATCCATCCTTGATCATATTGGTAACAGATACTCAGAATTAAAGCGGTTATTTATTCTCCTGTTTTACAAAACCAGTATTGTTCTCTCTTTTTTTTTTTTTTACCTTTGCTAAAGGAAAATTTTACATTGGTGCTAAAGTTAACTGAGCTAAAAAAGTACATTATGAGTACTAGGTGAAATTTACTGGTTTAGATTAGCCTCTACTTAATTCAGCAAACATTTACAAAATGCCTGTATACAAGGTATTACAGTGATAACTACATATGTCCTAATTATGCATTTACCCAAAAGAGAAAAAAAGATTAAAATTTGGCATTAAACACATATTTATATCTTGGAATTGAGCTTCCCCAAGGCAGCATTTATATTTAAGTATTTAATGCTCCTTTTTAAATGTGGAATTTATTTTTACTCTTGTTCATTTTCTTCCATGAGTTATGATGTCCAGGTGGAAAAATCTCTTGTCCCATGTTTTACAGATAACTATATCAAGGCAGAGCCTCAGCCACTTTCTCCTGATTCCTCAAGCTGTTCAGTCTCTTCCCCTCAATCAGTGGATTCTTATTCTTCAACCCAGCATGTTCCTGTAAGTAACTGGGCCTTTACGTTGACTTGGTCGTAAAAAACATGTGGAAAAGTTACCCTTTAAAACCTTACTAATTCACAATACGTGGATGAAGCCTGTCTGACTTAAATTAACAAGTATTTATTAAACACCTTCTATGTTCCAGGAACTGTGGTAAGTATACAGAGTCAAAAATGAAACAGTCTGTGACCTAAAGGAACTTACATTTTATAGGGAAAGACAACATGTACAGCTATACATAATAGTATTAATAATAAATACCAGGTAATATTTTTGGAGAAACTAGTGGCTGGGGACAGAGGAACTCATCAGGTATCAGGAAATACCTCATGTAGGAGGTGGCTCTTAAGCTGAGCCTTGAAGGACAGCCTCTGCAAATGCCTAGATATGGAATGCTCTTTGAGAAGGACAGTGGTAGGTTTAGCTGGACCATAGCGTGTGTCGAGGGAAGTAATATATACCAAGGCTGGAAAGGTAGGTTAGAGCCAGGTTGTGAAGGTTTGTGTTCATCTTTCCTTCTTGAAGAAGACCAGTGACATCCTGAGGGTGATGTCTTGACTTGCATCTTAATTGAATTTGAGTGAGACAGAGCTGTGCAAAGTCATCAGCCTTACTCTCTACCCGAGTCATTGCTCTTTCCTTCAGAGGCATCGGAGTCGAGTGGCAAAGACAAAGGTCGGGATGACTGGCAGTAGCCCAGGTAATAGGAGCCACTGAAGTCTGTTAAATGAGGCAATGAAGTGGGAGGCAAGGTAGGTAGACATGATCAAACCTGTGCTTTAGGAAAATCATTGGCTGTTATGTGGAAGATGGATTGGAGAAAGAAGACACTTAAGGCAGGGAGCCCAATTAAGGACTGTAGCCATAGTCTAGGAGAAAGGTTTTAAGAACCTGAACGAGGTTGGTGGCCATATGAGGGGAGAGAAGGGAATGGATTTGAGAGATGTCATAGAGGCAGAATCAGCAAGAATTGGTGACAATATTTTTGAGGTAGGAAGCATACTTTTAATTAATTGCAATATACCTTATGAATTCAGATAACAATGGTAATAAAATGAGATCAATTAGTGAAAAGATTATATCTTGTAATGGGCTTGCATTGCACATTGTATCTTGTAAATGTTCAGATTTTTTAATATGTGGTAATTCATTTTGGGTGCCCAAAAGCTTAAAAGAATTAACTTATTGGTTTGTGAAAATATTGATTTTTATTCTGTTTTCCCTTTACTTATAAGACTGACAGTTCACAGAGGAAGATGCTTTAAACTTTTTTCTGAATAAGAATCATCAGTTGTAGTTTGATTTCTAGTTGTGTAGTTTGAGTTATGCTTATTTCTGCGTATGTTTTATATAATGTGACCAAATGCTTCACTTATGCAGTATCTTGCTTCACATTTATATGCTATGCCAGGCTTTAGCAACTTAATGATATTGTGCCAGAAAGATGATTTTCATTGGCACACTGTCTACTCTAGTATCCTAGATAGAACTGCAGTATAGAATAAACTTTGGTTTTCGTGCTCTCCTACCTACCTATTTATGCCTCTTTTTGAACCCATTGTCACCCCTTCTTCTATGTCTTTTACTTTGTTCCTTAATTTCATAAAATCACAGGGATTTAGTTTTAAAAAGCATTTGGTCTAACCTCTAATTTGGTCTGATCATTGATGCAGTGATATCTACCAATTAATTAACAATCATTTATTAAGTACCTACTCTGTGTCAGGCACTGCTAGATGCCAGGGTACAAAAATAAAGAATGAAAATAAACTTTATGGTGAGGTTACATTCTGCTGGAAAATTATCACTTAAGGAAAATTACTTTGGTGCCAAAGCAGAGGATGTATTGGAGTGGTGAGAGGCTTGAGACAGGGAATCTAGCTAGAAGGCTGTCACAATAATATGGGCCGTGGGTAATGGAGCCTGAACTAAAGTGGTAGCTGGGGGAGTGGAGGGAAGAGGTCCACTCAAAGAGGTATTGTGAAGGTAGAAATAGCAAGATTTGGCAGCTGTTTGGGTTTGTAGGGGGGAGGAAATATGAGGAGGTAAGGATAATAATGAGATTATGAACCTGGGAAATTAGAAGGACAATGACAGAAATAAGAAAGTTGGAAGAGGAAGAGTTTAGGGGAAAAGATAATGAGTTCTGTTTTTGACATGTCATATTTAAGAGGTGTCCAGCACATCCAATTTGAAACGCCCAGTCGGGAATTAATGACCTGGGGCTGAAGCTCAGGGAGAGAGTGGGGCTGTCTGTCTGTATCTCTCTATCTTTCTGTCTCCATCTCCATCCCTTTCTTGGCACTCTGCACTGCCATGATCATTCATCCCATGGCAGCTGAAGAGTTTACTAAGAGAGAACATTAAGGGATGCCCTCTGCAGCATCTGGGACAAGTGTCTCCATCAGCCTTTGCTTGATTATCTTCATTAAGAGGAAACTTGCTTCCTCAGAGGGAGTCTGTTCTGTTTTTAGGAAGTTCTTCTTTATATTGAGCCAAAGGCTGACTCCCTATAACTTGTGCTTTTTGGTTCTCCTTCCCTCTAGAGATGCATAGAGTAAGTCTAATCTCATCTCCCTTCCACATGACAGACCTTCAGCTATTTGAAGAAAGCTGTTAAGTAATTTTTCTCCAGGCTAAACATCTCCAGTTCCTTAAACCTAAACTGGTTCCTTAAACTAGAGGCAAGGTTTGCACTCACAGTCTAATGGGGGAGACAATATGCAAACAACTATGTACAAATAAGTTATATACTAGATAAATTGGAGATAATCAACAGATGGAAGGCAGTAGGGTTACGAGAGATAGAGAGAGGCTTCCTGTAGAATGCAGGATTTTAGCTGGGGCTTGAAGGAAGCCAGGATGGAGATGAAGACAGAGAGCATTCCAGGATGGGAGACAGCCAGAAAAAATGCATGGAGCTGAGAGATGGAGTCATAAAGGTTATGGAAGGTAAAATAGGGAGGGAAGGAGCCTTTGGGTGAGTCAGATCTATGGATGGTGATATACTGAACTTGGTTCAGGATGATGTCGTTTTTTTTTTAGCTAGTCAATGGAATTAAGTGACTTGCCCAGGGTCACACAGCTACTAAGTGTTATGTGTCTGAGGCTGGATTTGAACTCAGGTCCTCTGAATCCAGGGCCAATGCTCTATCCACTGCACCATCTAGCTGCCCTAGGATGATGTTTTATAGTTGCCATATTTCAAATTTTTTTCCCTGTGAAGTGCATTTTTTTCCCTTCTTTTGGTGAGGCAGTCAGGGTTAAGTGACTTATGAAGTGCATTTTAAAAAAAAATTTATCCACCATATAGATTCACCACTTAGTAGGTGCTTAGTATGTGCTGTCACACACTACACATAGATTGTGTAATTCAATATCCAGTATAATATTAGGGACACAAATACTTAGGAAGTACTTTTTGGAATGAATTATAAGGGAAAATTACAACTGTTTGCATTTGTTTTTTCATTTTATTTTGCTACAGGAAGAGTTGGATTTATCATCCGGTTCCCAGATGTCTCCCCTCTCTTTATACAGTGAAACCTCTAACAGCCCCTCCTCATCAGAGTTACTAAAGGAAGACAAGCCTGTCATTGGTGCTACAAACAGGACTGGTATTACTTATCTTTTGATTAATTTTTCTAACGTGGACATAGGTTTATTTTCACTTTCTCCAGGGGAGTCTTAGAGTTAGAATTTCTCTGATTAAGCTTTCTTGCTTTTATGAAATTCATGGAGATGTATTTGTCCATGATGATTCGCTGATTAGAGACAGAGGAGGAAGTAATCTTTTTTATTTCTTTGTTTTCCTTTGTGATATCTCAGTGTTTCTAGTTAGTAGCTTCCTCAGACAGATGTAAAGGACCTTAAAAATAATTGTTGTTATCTTAAGTAGTGAGATCTAATTCGCAATTAAATGTGCCTATTTCATGGCCAGCATTTAACCAAGATAGCTTATAGAAGAAAAGGTGTAAAGGACGCCATCAAGGAATTGTGTAACAGGAAGAAACAATGGGCTGGTCACATGGTGAGAATGAGTAACGTCCAGTAGACAGTACAGATGCTCCACTGATACCTTCAGGACCTCAGAAGAAAGGAAGGAAGGCCTCTAGCCCATTGGGTGGATCTCCTGTGGAGAACTCTTGGGAGAGAAAGGATGAGATTCAAATAGTATGGACAGGCATGGATGAGTTACGATCTGCATCATTGGAGAGAATTCCTGACTCAGATCATACATCCATTTAAGTATTTGAGAATGATAAGTAGAAAGTAAGTGTATTAATTTTTATTCTTCATACTTTAATTGATCCAGTCAGATTCATTTGTGGTTTGATGTGTTTTTTTTTCCTATAGTAAATGGACTGACTCCAAAAAAACAAAGTCACGTCATTTCAAAGCCTTCGATTCAGCCCAAGCCTTTACTTCTGCCAGCAATACCCAAGAGTCAAGCCAACTCTAGCATTCCAACCAAAGCAATCATCATTCAGACACTCCCAACGCTTCTACCCTTGACAAAGCAGCAACCTGTTATTCACATTCAACCTGCCCCTGCTAAAGGTACAATATTGAAGTATTTGTGACTGTGTCTATCAGAGGTTCCAAACTTATTTGGCCTAATGCCCCCTTAAAAAAAAAGATTACTCTGTGACCCCCTGGAAAGCTTTCTTTAACTTTAACGGGTAACCCTTTCTTTAACTCTTTAATGGTCTTTTTGAAATTTGTGTCATTCCAAAAAATATATAAAATATATTTTTAAAAAATGATGCATCTTTAATTTAATAATTTATTGTAAATTTGTGGGGGTTTGCTAGTGTTGAAATTTTGATAATGCAACATTGCGTCATGTAACCATATAGTATTGTATTGTAAACAAATCATTATATGCACATATTCCTCCTGATGCAAGATGAACTTCCCAACAATGCATGACATACTTGCCTGCCAACACTTGCTTGTTAAGAACTGTCAGCGGACTTGACCACTGATGGGTTATAACTTGCATTTTGTGTGTTTTATTATCTTCTCTTCTTTCCTCATGCTCCCACTGCTCCTTTATTTTTATTCAGTGCCCCCCAATTGCACCCGAGGCTATTACCACCACCGCATTCGTTCCAGAGTCCCCCCAGAGGGTGGCATTGCCCACTGTGAGCACCTATGGATATGGTTAGAAGACAATAAGATTTGTCTGAACAAGCAGGCCTTTGAAGCCATTTTAAAGGACAAGGCTTTGTGAGATATATGAGGAGACTTTTGCAACTAAGCACAAAAACAAAATTGTCCTTATTTTTAGCATTCTGTAGTTTACACATGGCTATTTAGGGATAGAGTAAAGTAATCATGATGTTTTATGATTTTTAGTGGTACCCGAGGTGGCTAACAGATAATAATGTTTGTTTCCTGTAAATCTTTATAAGATATCAAATTCTGAGGAAAGAGGTAAATTGGGAATATGTGCTTTGATGACTTGTTTTCAGTGTCAGACAGAAATCCAAATTTCCTCTTTCTTTATCTGGTTGTTTTATTTTCAAGTTATAACTGTGGAGAAACATGACTCTGGGACTTTTGAATATTTACTTCAAAGACCTCTATTTTCTTAGTGTGAGTAACCTCTGTGACTTGTAAATCTTAACTCCGAAACACTTCAGTAGATTTTTTCATGATTTTATTTGTCTGAAAAAAAAGTGTCTTACCTAGTGGTTAGCCTTTTGGCAGTGAGCTTCTCTGAACTCTTGTAGTCTGCTCAGCTTTCCAGCTTGGTAGAATCTACCGGATCTACTGACTTGAGGACACAGCCTTCAGGAATCCAGTGTTATCTGACCTCCATTGCCAAGGTCGGTCATGAGAGGAGGCCTTAAATGGAGTTCTAGCTGACATTTGATAAATCCCATTAGAAATGAAAATGAAACCCAGGAAACTTTCTTGACCAAAACAAGAACTACAACAACAATAACAAATACAATTTATATGACACTAAAAAGGTCCAGAAGCACTTTTAATCTCTTTTAATCCTCTCAGCATCTCTGATAGAAGCATTACAGATATTTATCTCCCTAACAGATTATAAGCTACTTGAGGGCAGAGACTGTCTTATTTTGGTGTTTGTAACCTCAGTGCCTAGCTTAGTGCTTGGCAGAGTTGGTACTTTAATAATTGCTTGCTGAAGGAGTAATGAATCAGCACTGTACAGATGATGAAGAAAGTGAGCCTTAGAGAGATAAAATGATTTGCTTGTGGTCATAGGTATTAAGTGTCACAGGTGAAATTCAAACAGAGCTTGCCCCACCCCAAGTCCAGTTCTTTTGAGTGGATTGAGCATGGGGTGTGGTTTCCAGGAGACTTGAGTTTAACTTCTGCCTTGGGCATTTATTAGCTTGGGTGACTCTAGGAAAGTACCATCACCTTTCTTAACCTCAGCTTCCTCATTTGTAAAATGAGGGAAGTTGGAATCAGTGATTTCTAAGGTCCCTTGCAGCTTGAAAGGTGTGATCCTAGGAACTCTCCTTACACCTCACTGCTTAGTTTTCTTTTGAGGCTTCAGCCCCTTGAATTTGTAATCTTTCAGGTGAATCTTTAAAGTATGTGTATATACCTACACAGTGTCTGTGTGCTTTTGTGTGTCCATATCTGTGCAGTGCTTGTGTGTATGCAGTTATGTACATATGCATGTGCTTGGGTATACGTGCATGTGTGTGCATATATGTTGCATGCACATATGTGCATATATAATGTGTTGTGCATATTGTGTGTATGTGTGTTTGTGTATACACTGCGTACGTGTGTGCTTACACATATTTGTATGTATACGTTGTGTGCATATGTGTTGTGCACAATATATGTGTGTGTTTGTACATTGCCTGCATGTGTGCGCTTGTGCATATGTGTATGTGTATGTTGTGTGCATGTTGTGTGTATGTATGTAGCAAATTGATTTTTCATAGTCTGAGGAGGCAGTATGGTTCAGTGGAAAGAGCAGAGGCATTGGAGTTGTAGGGCCCAGCAATGCCCACCACAAGCTGTATCCTTTGACGGTTGTCTGAGCCTTGCACTGCATGGGTTGGATTAGATGCCCTGAGGTACCTTCTGGGTTTAGATCCAAGTTCTTCTGAGTCTATGAATGAGCACAGATATTGCCGTTTTGGACCCTTCTGTGCCAACACCTGATGAAGACTTCTTTTGAACTTTTTGGACCTTAGTTTCTTCAATTATAAAATTAAGATTTCGGGCCCCTTGCTACTAGGTGGAAGTGTGCTCGAATCTCAGTGAAATGTATGTGTATTGCCTGTGTTGTCCAGCAGATGGCCTGAGATACTCAAGAGTAGCTATATGAACAGATGAATTAGTTTTTAGAGAAAAACAAAAAACTTTTTGGTTACCATCCAGCTGGAGAAAGCATTACCATAGAGAGCCCATTGAAGCCCATTACTCAGCATTGTGCTTTCATCAGTGTCAGATAGCTATGTAATGTTGACGTTGTGATTGCAGGGAAAGTGCTGTGGGTTTGGGAGTCTATGGACCAGTTCTCCTTCCCTTTGTCACTCGCTCTTGGTGGGACCCTGGGCAATTTTGCTTCCTTTCTTTGCTCTTCAGTTTCCTCATCTGCAAAATAAAGAGCTTGGATGTGATCTCTGTAGTCTTTAAATCAGAGATTGTTGTATGATCCTAAGTCCCCTGACATCTCTGAGTGTCAGATTCCTCATCTGTAAAATATAAACAATAGCACTCATGTTGCCATCCTTCCAGGATTATTGTGAGGAATTCATTTTGTAACTGTTAAGGTGCTATGTGAGAGTGAGTTGTTAAATATTTAAGCAAGTTTTGGCAAACCCTGTTATCACTCCTTTTTTGGATTTAGCTTTGTTGGATTTATTTAAGGTATAGTAGGACAAGGTCATAACATGGCTTATGCAGTAAATTAATACTTTTACTTTCATCCCTGTGTTGATGGCCCTGCTTTTAGTACAGAAGAAAACTCTTCCATACCTTAGTGCCACAGTTTTTAACCTGGGGTCCATGGACACCTAGGAGTCTGTGGATCTGTTTCAAGGGACCTGTGAATTTGGATGGGGAAAAATTATATCTTCATTTTCACTAATGTTTAATTGAAATTTAGCATTTCCTTCAATTATCAATTTTATTTTTTTGATAATTTATTTTAGTTTTTGACATTCACTTCCATAAGATTTTGAGTTTTAAATTTTTTTCCCTTCCCACTTCTTCCTTTCCCCTACAACCAAGACAGCATGCAATCTGATACAGGATCTACATATGCATTCATGTTAAGCATTTTCCCACTAGTCATGAAGTAAAGAACAATTAGAACTAATGAGAGGAACCACGAGAATGAAGCAATAAAACAAAACAGCAAAGGAAAAGGAGAGCAAATAGTGTGCTTCGATTTCATTCAAACTCTATATTTCTTTCTCTGTGTGTGAATAGAAATTTCCATTGTGAGTCTTTCGGAGTTGTCTTAGATTCTTGCATTGCTGTGAAGAGCCAAGTCTATCAAAGTCAGTCATCCTATAAAATGGCTGTTACTGTGTACAATGTTCTCTTGGTTCTGCTCGTTTCACTCTTCAGTTCATGTAAGTCTTTCCAAGTTTTTTTTTTTAAATTGTGCCTGCTCATCATTTCTTATAGCGCAATAGTATTCTGTTACATTCATAGTCTACAACTTGTTCAGGCATTCCCCAATTGATGGGTATCCCCTCAATTTCCAATTCTTGGCCACCATAAAAAGAACTACCTATAAATATTTTTGTACATGTGGATCCTTTTCCATTTTTATGATCCCTTGAGGATACAGACCTAGAAGTGATATTGCTGGGTCAAAGGATATCCATAATTTTATAGCCCTTTGGGCATAGTTCCAAATTTCTCTCCAAAATGGTTGGATCAGTTCACAACTCCACCAACAATGTATTAGTTTTCCAGTTTTCCCATATTTTCTCCAGAATTTATCATTTTCCTGTTTTGTCATGTTAGCCAATTTCATAGGTATGATGTGGTACCTCATAGTTGTTTTGATTTGCATTTCTCCAATCAATAGTAATTTAGAACATTTTTTCATATGACTATAGATAGCTTTAGTTTCTTCCTCTGAAAACTGCCTGTTCATATCCTTTGGCCATTTATCAGTTGGGAAATGACTTGTATTCTTATAAATTTGACTCAGTTCTCTATATGTTTTAGAAATGAGGCCTTTATCAGAGACATTGGGTGTCAAAATTCTTTCCCAGTTTTCTGCTTCCCTCCTAATCTTGGATGCATTGCCTGTATTTGTGCAAAAACTTTTCAATTTAATGTAACCAAAATTATCCATTTTGCATTTCATAATGTTCTCTGTGTCTTCTTTGGTTATAAATTCTTCTCTTCTCCATAGATCTGAAAGGTAAACTATTCCTTGCTCTTTTAGTTTGCTTGTAGTATCAATATTTATATCTAAATCATGTACCCATTTTGACTTTATTTTGGTATAGAATGTAAGATGTTGGTCTGTGCCCAGTTTCTGCCATATATTTTTCCAATTTTCCCAGTAGTTTTTGCTAAGTAGTGATTTC